ATTTGCAGGTCTTGATCACCTTTTCTCCTACCTAAGACAACACACTCAGCTGGGCCCAGTGGCTCACACCTATAATCCTAGCATTCTGGGATTGCCTGAGCTCAGGAGTTTGAGACCAGACTGAGCAAGAGCAAGACCCCTGTCTGCACTAAAAACAGAATAACTAGTAGAATAACTAGTCAGGCATAGTGATACACGCCAATAGTCCTAGCTACTCAGGAGACTGAAGAAAGAGGATTGGTCAAGCCCAAGAGCTTGAGGTTGCTGTGAGCTATGATAATGCCACAGTACTCTACCCAGGGCTACGTACAGAGTGAGACTCTGTCTCGAAAAAAAGGAAAAAAGACAACATACTAGTCTATTACACTGATGATATGCTGATTGGACCTACTAATAAGAAGTAGCAACTAGTCTACATTTTAGGATATCTCGTAGACTCTATTGGCTCCAGTTTGAAATTTGAATATCCAGTTGACTCAGTGACTTTTGTGCTGTTTCCTAAGATGCAGTCTCTTCCAAAAGCACTTCTGCTCCCAGCCCATGATTGGTGATCTAGGAACTAACTTGCTGTCACTTATTATCACGACAGGGCCCAGCATAAAGGGAAATTATTACAGGAATCTCAGGGCAAACCCTCAGTCTGTCCCTTTGGCTACAAGAAGAGAAAGGGGTTGTTTAAACTCAAGGTTTTTGTGATACCACATCCATGAATGAATGTGTGTATATGATTGTGTGTGGACCCATTCCAGTACACATCTGTCCCTGCTAAGTCTTTTATCCTCTCCCCCTTCTCTAGATGCTCCTGTTCCTCATGAGTAGATAAGCTAACTTGGGTGACCCTGAGGGCAATGACCTCAAAGTCTCAGTGCCAAATCATTTTTGCAGTTCACATTTAACTGAGACCCAGCTCTGCAGACTTGACTGCGGTCCCTAACAACAGCTCACAGACTCAAGCACTGTGTGCCAGCAGTGCGATCAACATGCACATGATGTTCTCCCTTTAATCTCTGAAACAACCACGGAAGGGCCTTTTACCACTGCTGCTTTACCAATGGTGAAAGTGGGGCCCAGGGAGAGTCACTTGCCCAAAGAAGAAGCAAAGCTTAGGGAGCACAGCCAGGACTTGAAAGCTGCCTTGGAGCTACCTGCAGAGCTGACACTAACTATGGCAGCGACACTCCCTCCCTGTGGAAGCCAAAAGCAATACCCCACTCTTCACTCTGCGCTTGGGGGGGAAATCTGGAGAATAAATGTTCCAGACTACAAAAAAAAAAATCATTAGTCTGTGTAAAGTCTACTCAAGCTAATCAAGAAAATAGGAATGGGGAACAAAGCCAGAGAGATGTCTCAGTCCTATGAATCAACCAAGTCCCAGATAAAACGTTTCTCACTCACCTAATTTCCTCAGTCTCACAAGATTTGTCTAAAACAGTCAAACATACAAACATATACAGTACAACTGCTGTAAGTTGACCACCCAAGGGACTGTAACCAACTGGTCAACATATGGAGATGGTCACCAGAAGGAACTAGACCTACTGTACTGAAATGTACATATGGTGCATTTCCAGTCTGTGAAAATTAGGTCAACCTAAGGGGGTGGTCAGTGTAGGGAAGTGGTCAGCTACTTTAAGAGTCACAGCTGCTTGGTAGCTCTCAGCTTGCAGCTTCTACATCCTGCTGTGCGTCTCCTGGGACAGGATGGTTGTTAATAGCTCCAACATCCAGCAATTCTAAGATCTACTCTATGGTTCATCTCAGGCCAAAGCCGTCCATGACAAAGCTCCAGGAGCCGCCTGAGGGACCAGCAGCCTTTTGGAAGCAGAACGTCGCCTTCTACAGGTGTCTACTTGCCTGAGGCTCCAACTTCCAGTACAACTTTACACAGGGCACAGTAGCTTGGCACAAAGGGGCCGAGGACGCTACTGCGCGCGTACCCCGGATCTCTTTCACCAGGGTCTCCGGAGGCACAAAAACAGGTAGCTTTATCCTCTCTGTCTTTGACCCACGCAAGACCAGATCCCCTCCCCCACTCGGGCGTCCACAGACCAACAATGCCAACATGCGGAGTATGTTTCCCAGCCCGCACCGTAGCATCAGATCGGGGCTCGCCGCGACTCGCCGCTGACCAATCAGAAGAGAAAAATTTGCCTTCAGGGGCGGGACCATCGATGGACCAATTGAAAGACAAGAGGCGGGGCCCGCGGGCAAACCCTAAGCCCGAGAAACCTCTGGTGACTGTTGAAGGCAGTAAGGAATGGGTGAGGTTGCTCGGTTCAAGCTCAGGTCTCCAAGCGAAGAAACTAAGCAGCAAACCCACGGCCACTGTGACCCGCGGACAAGACGACCAGAGTCAGAAGCCCTAGGAAAATTTATGCAAAAGCGAATCCTCGAGCGCATGCGAGATTCAATGCGTTAGAGTGTTGGGTGGAGAAATCTGAATTTTTAACAAGCTCTCCTACGAAATTCTCTACGCACAGGTTGGAGAATCACTGACTGGTCATAACAGATTTAAAGGAGGTCCCCATCTGCTCTCGTTACTCAAAGGCTCATAGGGAGACGCCTTCACTTGGATCACGACTTCGGGTTCGCCCCACCCAATACCCTGGGATCGAGCAGCACTTAGACCGGAAACGGGAGCATCTCCAAAGCAGCTCTAGACTGGTTGGAAGCCGGGAAGAGTCTCAGCCCCTCCCACGTCAGCATCCTCGTGGCCGCACAGCGAGGCGGGCGGCGGTCAGCCTGCCGGGAGTTGTAGTCCGCTGAGCAGTCCCGCGCCTGCGCCCGGAGCAGTTGCCGGTGAGCTAGGGAGAGCTGTGGCGCTTAAGCGGTGAGTCCCGGAGTGGCCAGAGGGCGTGGCTGTCCCTGGGGCGCGGGCGCGGGCACGGGCGCGGGTAATGGGGTTCCTTTCGCTAGCCCAGTCCACGCGTACTGGCTGGTTCCGGCTGTGTCCCGGGAGGTGAACGTCTGGAGGAGCGATGGGCAGCGGGCCGCTATCCGGCCGGGGTCGTCGCCGCCACTCCCTGCGACCCGACCGGGCCTTCCTGGGAGTCCTTCAGGGCTGGGAGCGCTTCTCAGGGTGGCAGGACTTTGTCGCTCAGGAGCGCCCAGGGTCCACTCCCAGGACATCAGATTCCTATTTTAAACCAGCTTTTAGACTTTACAGGGACGTGTCACTCATGCTGTCCCCGCAAGTGCCCTCTTTTCTCACATCGCTTTACTCATAGGCCCTGTGGGGGTGGATTCACTTCAGGGAGGTTTGGAAAGAAACCACTCGTCCCACAGTGAAGTGAACTTTTCATTGGGAAGAGCCGATGAAAGGAAACCCAGCGGGTCAATTCCCTGGTAGACGTGGTAGAAGGTTTTGGGTCAGTCAGGGGAGTACTGGCCAGCTGTGAGGCTGGAGTGGATTAATGGGTGGGTCCGCAGCCAAAAACAGCGCTTTTCCTGGATGCCCTCCAGCAATGGTTAGGTGCCTAGTCTCTGGGAAACAGAAGCTTCCTAGGAATGAGTCTTGACAAGCAATAAACTTTAATTGAGTGCTTCCTCTGTGCCAGGCACGCTGCTATTTGCTTTCTATGCAATTGGATCTGCGCAGAGCATTTTATAAAGTAGATGCTATGATTATCCTCCTACGACAGATAGCACTGGGTGTCAGGGTCACAGAGCTAACAGGTTATCACACCTACCTTAGTCTGCCTCTGCAGTCAGGCTACCATCATGGTAAAGGGTGATATGAGGACAGAGTATCGATTTTGGTTGACTCGGTTAGAAGAGGGTCATAGTATTTGTTTTTCGGAGAATCTTCTCCATAGAAGAAAGCAATACAGGAGCTGTCTCAGCAAATACAGAGACAGATAATTTGTGGCACACAATAGGTATAGGTATTGAAACTGGTGAAGACACGTATGTGACGAATTCCATGACCTCAGTAATCGCACTAAAAACATTTTGATGTATTTAGACATTAGATTTGCAGGAGAATATAAATTTTAACCCCATCACCATTTCCCGCTGACATTTACCATGTGACCCTGGGCAAGTTCTTCAATTCCCCCAAGCCTCAAACCTAAGTTTCCTCATCTGTAATCCAAGGGATAATACTAGTACCAAGCTCCTAACCTTGGCTAAGGATTAAATAAACGAATATTATGTAGGATGCTTGGAAGAGTACCTGGCACATAGTGTGAACTCAAGAAATATCTTTTTTTAACAATGCAGAGCAAATTCCTAATGCTCTCCCTTTTGCAGTGTGTTTTTCTTATGGCAGAGCCACTGGGGATGCTATGGCAGGATGAAGGTTTTAGTTATGATGGCTGAATTATACATGCCTTGAATGGAGAAGAATGAAGGATTGATGAGTTGCTATGCTTGCAAAATGTGGCGCTACCTAGGTTTTCTTTGATTGAAGGCTATTTAGGTGTACTTAAAGCTAGATGGACTTTCAGAGTTATTCAAAAGTATTGTTAATATTCCTCCATTTCTTTTGAGACTTGCGTATATTCAGAAACACAGGACAGTTGCAACTGGGAGTGGGGTTAAATGCCAACATTTATAGAGGTTCTTTTAAAGTAAGGGTTCTTTCCTTAGGACTATGGAATTCTACAACAGAGCTGTACAGTACAGCTTCCTGCAGTGATGTCTGTTGAACACTTGAAATTTAGCGAATATGACTGATAAATTAAGGGGTTTTTTTTTGGCCAAACTTGAAAAGTTCCACATGGGGTTTTTGGCTACCATATTGGACAGCACAGTTTGAGAGGGTCCATGGATAAGCTTTGAGATTTTGTAGACTTTTGAAACTGGATGCAGAATTGGATGTGTTGTGTGTGTATTTTTCTAGGAAATGAGTCTGTGGCTTTCATCAGATTCTCAAAACCACCTAAAAGATTAGTAATTGCTGCTTTAGGGGTTTGGTGAAACTTAAGTCAGTTAAGGCTGGTAAATGTGCCCTCTTGTAACCACTGCGTTTTCTTCTTTCTCATTTTTTCCTGTCTTTAGCTGTAGGTGTCTTCCCCCACCCCTGAAGATTTCAGAGAAAAACAAATTAGAATCTGAGATTGCAGGCTCCAGATAAACTGTAAACTGCTGGAAGGAGGCCATGGCTGTGGCCCTGGGTTGTGCAATCCAGGCCTCCTTGAATCAAGGCTCCGTGTTTCAAGAGTATGATACTGATTGTGAAGTCTTCCGTCAGCGCTTCAGGCAGTTCCAGTACAGAGAGGCGGCCGGACCTCATGAAGCTTTCAACAAACTCTGGGAGCTTTGCTGTCAATGGCTGAAGCCAAAGATGCGCTCTAAGGAACAAATCCTGGAGCTGCTAGTATTGGAGCAATTCCTAACTATCCTGCCCACGGAGATAGAGACCTGGGTGAGGGAACACTGTCCGGAGAATAGAGAAAGAGTTGTATCACTGATAGAAGACTTACAGAGAGAACTTGAGATACCAGAGCAACAGGTAAGATAAGAGTTTGGGATCTTTGTAATTAGCCCAAAGGAAATAGCTGAGGTAGCTAGGACTAGATCAGACATTTTGTCTCTGCGTGTTTTTCCAGCCCCAGGATTTCTCCACAGTCCCTTTCGTTTTTCTCCCCTACTGGAAAGAGCACATGAACAGATTGGTTCTGTCCCTATCAGATACAATTCCCCTTCTCTAACAAATAGTTTATAGGCTCGGCCTGTAGCTAAAGTGGCTAAGGCGCCAGCCATATACACCAGAGCTGGCGGGTTCGAATTCAGCCTGGGCCTGCCAAACAACAATGACAACTGCAACCAAAAAATAGCCGTGCATTGTGGTGGGCACCTATAGTCCCAGCTATTTGGGAGGCTGAGGCAAGAGAATCACTTAAGCCCAAGAGTTTGAGGTTGCTGTGAGCTGTGATGTCATGGCACTCTACCTAGGGTGACCGCTTGAGGCTCTATCTCAAAAAAAAAAAAAAAAAAAAAACCAAAGAGTTTATAATGTCCGCTTTACTGTTCTTAAATGAAATTCAAAGATAACATAACTTCCTGCATGCATCAAACAAAAGCATCAGTATATTGCTCTATGGCCTGTAGACCTATCTGGCCATTGTCCTGGTTTTATATGCCCTGAGAGGTTATAGTGGTTTTTACATTATTAAAGGGTTTTTTTAAAAAAGAAGAAGAACTAACAGTGAATGTGGCACAGAAAGCCTAAGATACTTATTTGGCTTGTTACAGAAAAAGTTTGCCAACCTCGAGTCAAGTAAAGTCTAGGAGAGATATAAAGGAAAAGGAACATAGTTTGTTTTAAACTAATGCATTTCTGCATATACAAGGTCTGATAATGAAGTTCGCGAACTTGCCACCGTGCACTATAATTGGCAGCACTGTACAGATAACTCAGTGAGTTTTCATAACTTTGATATATCAGTGTCTCACAGCTGATTGTGAGGCAGGTGGTGGTGTCTTGCTGAGTGGTGTTTATTGTTGCATATTTTGTATATCAGAGTTTGAATTAGAACAATGAACAAACATTAAATTTCTTCTTAAACTTGGCAAGAGTGGAAGTGAAATCAGGGATGTGTTAGTTTAATTTTATGGGGATAATGCCATGAAGAAAATGGCAGTGTACAAATGCATGAAATGTTTTTCTGAGAGAAAAGTGTTACTAATGGAGAGAGGTGAGGGTGACTACTAAGGAGAAGAACTGATTAAAACACTGCAGAAACTCATTGAGTTAAGTGTCAAAATTGTCAGCTGACTGTGAGAAGGATAGTAGCCCAAGTAAATATAAATATCAATAGAGAAACAGGAAAATCTTAGCTGAAAATTTTGGCATGAGAAAGGTGTATGCAGAAGTGGTTCCAATGGAGTTCACTGATGAACAAAAGCAAAGGAGAGTTGAAGTTTCCCAAGACCTTGTGGAGAGGCAAGAAAACGTTCTGGGCCGTGTTATCACTAGTGATGAAGCATTGTGTACCAGTATGACCGTACAACAAAACATCAAAGTGCATAATGGAAGTCAGCCAATTCTCCACAACCAAAAAAGTTCCATCAATCCAAATCAAGAGTCAAAATAATGCCGATAACCTTTTTTGATAACAGAGGGTTTGTTCATTATGAATTTATACTGAACAAACAGGTAATCAAGTTTACTATTTGGAAGTGAGAGAAAGGCTACATGAAAAAGTTAGACAGGCTCGGCGCCTATAGCTCAACCGGCTAAGGCGCCAGCCACG